TTTTTTTCAGGTTCAACTAAACAGCTAGGCAGATGATGTCAGGTCCCGGTGTGTCAAAACGCTCCATTGGCGGGTTCCTCCCCACCTTTTTTCATGGTCCCCCAAGACGGAATGACGCAGAACGACGAGAGGTCAATCCCGGGTCCGGTCTCAAGGTGCCATGGCCGTAGCAAACCGGAGTTGAACCCGGACACGACCTGTCTGGGACTGCCAGGACTGCCTTCAAAACGGCCAGGGGTGGTGGTTGACTGGGTGTCTGGCTTGATCGGCAGTCCTATTGCAGTCCCATCTCTGGGTAAGGTATTCCAGGTTCTCAGAGCATTTCCAGTACGCAAAACTTATGCCATGCTGTTCGGGTCCAGTCTGTTGACCGTCCTGTTCCGTCCTGCTCGTGGTCTGTGGTCCGTCGAGGTCCCTACGCACCACCCACGCGAAGATGGCCCTGGACAGCGTGCTGAAAGTCTTTGTGAGGCACCTGGCACCTTCCCGAGTCTGGTGCTGGCCATCCCGTCGGGGGGGCGGAAGCACGAATCGAACGCAGAAATTTCCAGAGAATCTGAGGTTAGTTGGGACCTGAAAAAGGACCGTCACCTGGGGTACCTATGATAGAAAAGTATAGAAAGGTAAACTCCCTTTCAAAAGGATTCAAAAGGTATTGGGAACTGGAAACCGTTTCAGTTTCTATCTATTTGGAGGGTTCTTCGGCCTCTGTTGGATATCAAGGTCAAAAAAGCTCTCCACGGATTGACTGGGGGCGGGACGATGTGTTCGAGTTGCGAAAGAAATTCGAAAGAATCTGCTCGATTCCCAGATGTCGCGACCCTCAAATGGCAATCATATTGGCCCTCACAATTGCATGTTTTTGAGTGATTTCTGTCAGGAAACGACGAAACGAAGGGATGCGATGTCCAGTGCCATGTTCTTTGACCATGGACACCCTAGTATTGGCAAGACTGGATTGAAGCCAAAAAGAAACTAATCAACATGTGGATCGAATGCAGCACTGTCATGGCAAATCAGTGGCCCCAGGTCCATAAAAAGGATCCTCCTGCCAGGACCCCTTGACGACCACATCTTCTTGGTCAAATAATGCAAGAAACCCTTTTTCTCCAAGATCATCACGTAGCTTAGGTCTTTCTGTCTAGATTAAGGAGTTGTTTCATCCCTAACTTGGTGTCAACGCCTTCAATCTTTCCATTGCAACCTGGCCGCTCCGACCCACCCACCCAAACATATATGAAAAAGATAAACACGGCCACAAACTAGTACGCATGGTCCGTGTGGTTCGGTTTCAGGAACTGCTGATGACTTTGGAGGGGTTGCTGATAAGGGATTGCTGGGATCTTTGATAGATTTCTCAAAGTCTTCGGTTGATAAGGGATGGTTTTGGGGGCAGACCGCAGACCAAATTCCTTCCAAAGCCATGCACACCAAGAGCAGACAGCGGCGCGTCTTCTTTGCATCTCTTCTGGTCCCCGGCCAGCCGCGTGGTCTTCTCTTCCCGGTCATAGGACGTCCCAGTGCAATCCCGACGCGGAGTTCAGCAAAGTCCGGGTGCGCCTCCTACAGGCGGGGTGATTCCCTCCCAGCCCGTTGGGAGGGCGTCCGCGCGCGGCTGGGCGGCGATGCGCTGAACCCTGAGCATCCATTGGGGACCGGATTAAAAAGACATACATGGACCCCATGTAACAGGACCCAAACGTACAGTACTCCCCTGCAGAAAACACATGGAACCCCAGAACCACGGGTTGTAGAGGAAAATGGTCGGAACCACAGGTTCAGTTCTCAGGTTTCATGTAAGTATGCGGCAGGGGCAACTATTCCAGTTCCCATGGGTGTATTTGGGGAAGAAAGAGACTCTGTGAGAGGTGTTGATGTTCTCCAACAGGAACAAAGGGGGTTCTCGCTCAAAGGAACCCGCACAACTAGGGCGAAATTTACCGAACCGACATGTAGCAGGTGATTCGGTCCATGAGCCTTTGGGTATGAAAACACTTCAACAACATGGGAGGTGATCCGGGACATCTCTGAATCTCTATGAAGATGGTGTATCCCTCTTCATCCCGATGTTTGTTAAAGTAGAGTGTTATAGTCTAGAATACGAGTCTTCTGAGCCAAGTAATGTTTTAACTCCTCTAACTTCTATAGATGCCAGGTGAGACTTTTGGACTAAAAAGAGGTTAGTGAGGTTGGCATTGTCTTAGGTTAAGTCAAAGCTAGGCCACAATCTTCCGACGCTAAAGGAATGCATATTCTGAATTTTCAGATATTGGGTTCTCAGGTTCCCAGCTTAGCTACGTCCTACGTCTACGTAGAACTCCTATAGCCTCAAATTTGAGTTATAGCCAGCTAAGCTCAGCAGTGTGCTCTTCAGGGTCAGTAGGTTGTGGATTCCCTTCTGGCCGCCTGGGTGTTGTTTTTGTTTATTCTTTAGGCTCAGCTACTGAATGCTATTCAGGATTCAAACACTGGGGCTCCTGACTATTTGCACTTCCAATGACTGGAGTGTGGCTTGGTGCTTCCCCTCTCGCCTGAGGCGTGCTTGCGCTTCTTGAAGACGGCTGGCCAGAACCTACAAGATTGGTTCCTTGGGAGAACAGCGGCAACGCGGAAATCCGCCCCCCTATGACTTCAGTCGGCGTGGAAGGTTTCTGTTCGGGGAAGGGATGGGGTCCGAAAACAGGAGGTTGGCTTTTTTCCCGCTCCAGACCCACAATGCTGCTGTGGATCCAAAAGGTAAGACCCAAAGGATCCCAAAGGTGTCCTTTTTTGAACCCTGAGACAGTCGACCAGATCCCGCGCAGATCGAACTGACCCACGCAGTGACCCACGGAGTAACCCACGACGTGCCGTTGGGAAGGTCAGATCGTTTGGAACTCAAACCAGTTCGATTTGGAATGGGAAGGGCCTCACTGAGGGCTTCTTTTGGGGGTTTGAAGAAAGCACCTCAAACCAGTTCGATGGTCTTGGAGTCTCGCATGTCCTGGATGTCTTTGCGTCGTTGCATCGTTGGTCTTTGGTGCTCACAGGTTCTTTGAGAATAGGCATTCATCATCAGGCTCATCTAGCTTGAAATGGGTGTCTTCCAAATAGCAGTTGAAATGGTTTGATTTGAAATAGTAATGACAAGACCGGATTAATAAACCCGCCCCCCCCCCCACATGGTAGGTCAACAAGGTCAACAAGGAATGAGATAACCACTCATGAGGTCCACTCCCCCTGAATAATGTGGTATGAGACCATTGGACCATGAAGGTTTGAGAGGGGATGAGCTGATGAGCATGAGGCTAGAGTCCTGGTGAGAGCAACAGTCTATTGGAACCTCCACTAGTTAACCCCTTATTAAAAGTAATGTTACTTTCTTTTTTGGATTGTGTAGGCTCGGATTAACTGGGGGGGGGTTGTTGGTAGAAAATTAGACAATAGGGGGGGAAATCAACAGCGAATAATACTTTTAATTTGGGCAATTTCCGGCGGCTTTGTGGGCTCGGATTAACTAGGGGAGGTTTATTAATCCTAACTTTACATTACCTTGTTGTCAAGTTTGTTGCTGGCTCCGTCCATGAAACACGGCCATGTGGCTCATTTCGTTTGTTGGGGAGTGAGGCAGGCAACATTGCATTACATGGAAGATGAACATGAAAAGTTGCTGAAACCTCCTGGCTTGGTTGCATGTGCAGGGAGCCTGGAAATTGAACTTGAAGTGGTTTTGAATGTGATGCCAGATGATACGTGCAAGTACTGATCGTCTGCAAATTGTAGCGAGTGCTGCAAGTCTGTGGACAAGCTGCTGGCTTGTGCTTTGGAGCTTAACGGACGGGTAGAAATTTGGACACCAACTTGCTATTTGGAGGGACACCCGGCTCAGGCTAGATGAGCCTCACCATTCTTCCACGTTGCGGATTTCCAAGCAGTACTTTGTTCTTGTTTGTCCACCGGCTTAGATCTCCTTCATTCACTTGGAGCTCAACAAGAACTTGGATCCAAAATATTGTTTTCAAAGCCTAGCGAAGCAGCACGACCAGCTTTCCTTCTGCCGATCGCGGGCCTACTGGGTCGAGGCGGCAGCACCATTTGCGCAACAAGAACACGGCCATCTCCATTTTGACGGCGCTCCAGTGGGAGGACGGAGGGCTTTTATTGGGGGTTTTATGAGGTTGGCATGGAAAAAGCTGAAGTTGATGAGCTCAAGGAGCTGCAGGAACTGTACACAGGTCTCACGTTTTTGTCAATCCAACGTACCGGTCCCGGTCCCAAGACATGAGCAACGAGGATGAATGTTCCTGACCACGCACCTGACGCACGAACATCGTGCGAACCGGGGGCGTGAACCGGTCCTTGGAATGTATGTGTTTTCCAGACGGTCCAACCACCAGTGGATTGCACATGTGTTTTTTTTTTTTTCAGACTTTGCAGACGAGTCGGTGGATGCCAACGGTTGACCCAACGTGAAGCCCAGCACCAAATGTATAACCCATGCCATCAAATGCAATAGATTTGCTGAGACATCGTTTGGGAATGTGTTCCACCTTCAGTCGCCTTATGCCTCTCGCAGTTGCTCTGATGTGATTGAATGAATGCTCTCCGAGTACTCGCCACTTGTACCCTCCTGCAGAGGACCACATGGACTCACAACCACTGGGTCACTGGGTGATGAATCTTGGAACATGGTCTTGAATCGGGGCTGATGTTCATGGTCCATCATGGGACCCATGGGATCGTTTCCAGGTGGGATATATGTGAGCAGCCTTGTACACGGAGCAGCCTTCATGCCAGGACAAGCTGGCTTTGGAGAACGTGCCGGATATCAGTACTGAGCGTACCTGGACAGGCCGCTCTGCTCCTTGGGCTTAGAACAGAAGGGCCTGGGCGGGTGAGCAAACATCAAAAGCATCACCCAGGGCCTTAGGTGATCTTTTACGAGCCACTTGCTTAGTTTGTCATGGTGGTTGTATAGATAGTAGTTTGCCTTTCGAAGAGACCACAGTATCATGGACAAGGATGTGTTTTTTGGTGGGCACTGAATGATGGGACTGTTTGTGATGCCCAAGACGGTCGCAGTGACGGGGTGTGCAGAGCGAAAAGAAAACATGTTGGATCATGTTGGGGCCTAGCGTTTGTGCAACTCTGAGAATGAAGCGTTTTTGCTTTGCCAGTGGGCCTCCCCTTAAGCGTTCGAAAGAATCATGGAAGTGGATGGCATTCCCATGGAAGATCATTGTTCTCTACACCATCCACTTCTATGCTAATGACTCAGAGAGTAAATGAATGGATCTATGATTATAGAATTAAAAATGTAATTATACAGTAAATGTTTGTTTAGTTTTCTTTTGGACTCACTCACATCAAGCTGCACACGATCCAAGGTCGAGACCCTCTTGCAGTGCTTCTCCGGTTTGGAGCGCGTCAGAGCACGTTACAAGGCGCCGGCGGCTCGAGCCGTTTGCTGCGGATTATGGCGCGGCCGTGGTTCGTTATGGCTGGTATGTCGCCTCACATGCTTTGGCAGAACACAACCCCCACCAACAAACCACCAAAAAGGCAGCCTTCTCACACTGGGTCGGCTTTGGAAAAGAGGACACTTCCAGGTGTTGTTCAGGTGTCCTTCAAACTATCGAGAAGAGTTTTTCACAACGCTTTCCGCGTGCCACGTGGCACACTGGGCCGCCCGGGGAATTCGGGAAGGCCGTGTTGAACGCCCAGCTGGTCTCGGACTCCAGTGACTCCGTTTGGGTATCCAACCCGCTGGACTCAGCGGATGACGAGTGTTGTTCCAAGCGCATGCTGAGCGTTGGGTGAGGTGGGTTTTCGCATCCTCTGCCGCATGGCCGACGTTTTGGATGGTCATTCTGCGACTTGGCTGAGAGGAGCTGCTCTGATACCTGCTGCTTTTGGGGTCCCGGTGTTGGATTGTGTGCTTGCTTTTATAGGATTGATGGGCTGATAGGGAGAGCAGACTTATTCTGGGTGTTGTCTTTTCTTTTTAACCGCATTTTACCCTGGAGTCAGATTATCTGGAGATAGGGTTACATTGTGGGTAAAGCACCTTGTCTTCCGAGGTGTCCCGTGCGTTTTCCACTGCCCTTGAAAAGCCGAAGGACAAGCTTATTCACACCCCTGGTCGTACCCATAAGCGCATCAGGTCTCCAAGGTTTGAAGCCTCTGGTCGATAGAACAAAGTAGGTAAGGGAAGTCGGCAAAACAGATCCGTAACTTTGGGAAAAGGATTGGCTCTGAGGGTTAGGTGCAGGGGTCCTTGTCTTGATATTTGAGCTGAGCAGAAGCTACTTGACGCCTTTGGTGGAGAGTGGATTCTTGCACAGCGAGCTGCTCCCCGAAAAATCTGTTCCAAAAAGGCCCCTCGAAGGCTCGTGGCAATGCTCGCGGGCTAATGGCTTGTCCGGACGACCGAGCATTCGCACGGGGTGTCATGCGACCAGGGCCATCAATGATGCCTTACCCAGACACTCCATGTATGCCATATTTGCCTATATACATTGGGTTGATTTGGGGGGTCAATGTAGGCAAACACTCCATACATGGAATGTTAGAGGTTGGTTCCGGATTCCAATTATTCCAACTTGGGAAGTTGGAAGGTGCACAACATCCCGCAACCCTTTCATGGATGAAGATGACTCCGTGAAGGGCCAGCTGAGAGCACACAAGTGGTAACTCAATGAACACTTCCCATACCAGGAGCTAGGGAGTGAATAACAGCCCGTTGGAGGTTAAGGGGTGTCTAATAACCACGGGGTCCTTTTCTTTTATGAAGTCTTATGTTAACAGAAGAAGTATGATATTGCCAGAACAGAACAGGTATTATATATTGCCGGAACTTGTATTTTGCCGATGTAGACGTAGACAAGCAGAGAGCTTCAGCTCGTGTCTTGGAGTGTCTTCAAAATCCCTGTTTCCCGTACGTGAGTGACCCATCAGGAAATTTAGAAGCATTTGACACTATGAACATGAGAAACATTAACCATTGTTTGATATCCCCTGCTTGGATATCCTTTAAGACTGTATATGTAAATCAATGTAAATCAGTAATCCAACATCAAACCCATGGTGTGAATATGTTTGAACTGACTGAATGGTGTAGCAATGTAGCAGCAGAGAGTCTGTCTATGTCTAGTGCAAGGCGACTTTTTTTTTCTCAGCTGACAGCTTTCCGCATGTTTCCCAACGAGTGGATTTGATGACAAAATGACAACAACAACAACAACAACAACAACAGAGTTTGTGAGCGTTCGGATGATGTGTTCCAGAGTTGATCTAGGTTTTCCAATTAGGGGCCTCGCAACATGTAGCTAACTGAGCTCCCGTTGTTGGGCTCAGGATTTCTTGGAGTCTTCCGAAGATGAGGAGGCTGCTGGGCAGTGTCCTCCCTGGGGTGGATGTTGCATCGATGGCTCCCGGTGGAACACATGGTCGGATCATCGATCGGGTGTCCCATGTGTACGTGGGTGTCCCATCATATGTACGTGAAAGCAAAAGCAGGAGGTGAAAAAGAAACACGCCAGGGGGAGTCCTTTGGGGATTTTGCCAACTCCAGGCGCCAAGGCTCCGGGGCCTAGAAAAAGGATCCAGACGGAAGGGTCATGTCTCCACCTTCGAGTGGTTCGTTTTCTTTCTTTGTTGTATAACTGTATACTGTATAACTACCTCCAAAAAGGCGCTATTTGGGGGGAATGCTGGCATTCTTATTTTTGTTCAGGTTCTTTAGATCACAGTGTGAAAGGCGATTGGAATACTGAAGGACCTCAGGTGGAGACTCCAACAGAGGCATGAACTTCAATGACCCGGACCCCCCATGCTGTCCCACGCTTCATATGCAGTGGGGATGTTGCAGTGGATCATGGCACCTGGAGCCCCAAATCCTGGTAGGGTGATGTCCTGTCGGTCGTCACCAGGGTCCCAGTGCCCTGACCCGCCATGTACGAAGCATCTCCCAAGGCTTCAGTGGGACTTGGTTGACTTGGTGCACCAAATCCAGCCAACCAACGGACCCAATTCTATCCGGATCTGTCATGGTTTGGGCGCCAAAGCTCGTGTTTCGGTCTCCAATGTGTCGTTGACCTATTTAACGCCGGGCTGAAGGATGGCATGTGCTGCAGGATCCACTTTGGAGCGGTTTGGAATCCATCCGACCTGGGTGGATCCAGGGAGAGAGTCACCTCGGCCGAAAGAGAAGGTCTCTTGACCCGCGTGAGTGTTGCAGTGGATGTTTTTGTGGTTCTACTTCCACCAGGCAAAATTCCCCTTCCGCCAGGCGTTATGGTTCCATTCACCAGGCCTGGTGGTTCTACTTCCACCAGGCAGTCTCCTTGGGAGGTCGAATGAGACCTCTCTTGCCAAGCTTCACCCGCCTAGCTTCGGTCCCTGCAACTCATTCTTGGATCTCCCATGGGTGGCCGGTTACCGAAGCCGGAGGTCGCAGGAGTCTAAACAAATTATGTGGATCATTCCGGGCGTGGAATATCTATATTGCTATAAATAGAATCACTTTAGATTTCTATGACACTTGCTACTTTTTGTTGAGAATGCCCTTACTACTACTAATAATAAAAGTAATCATCATCATCATCATCATCATCATCATCATCTGAGGAAGGTGAGACTGGACCCCTCTGGCACCCAGCCCAGTCCCACCTTCTGACGAAGTACCCGTGACTCTTCCTTCACTCACGAGGACACCGGTCGCTTCCCTCGGATCCCGAACTCAACGAAGCGACTCTACGAAGGGCCAGCTTCAACGGCTCCTGGAGGAAGAGGCCCAGATTTGGGATGAGGCGCGAGATGACCCGTGAGACAAGAGCAGGGTGAGGTAGTGGGTGAGGTGTGTGTGTGTGTTATGTGAAATCTGGTGGGTTGTAGGGGCAGTGACTGGTTGTCTTCAGGTCTTCGACGCTGGATTCGGCGCTCCAACGTCCGTACTCGGGGGTGAGACCGTGATGAGGTCCTACGAAAGTACATTGATTCAACAAAAGAACCAGATACTGGTATTTGTTGGATTCGTTGGGTGAAAACCATTCTGCTGGAGCTCCTCCAGACTCTGGTGTAGGCATATCAACCAACGACCTGTGCCGGAACTGGAACCTCAAGTAGAAAGGAAGACTATCAAAAATGTGTGTGTGTGTGTACAGAAGTATACATAAGTTGCTTGGTGATGAGAACTTTCCTAATTCAAGCCGAAAGGCTATTGGCAACAGCTTTGGCCCCCTCTTTTCCGGGACTGAGGCTCAAGTGGCACAGGTCTTGGCTCTCATTTGACCACTGCTTTTGGGACCCCTGCTTGGGCAGAACCCTGAAAGCACCACTGGGAATTCGGGAGGGCGTGGCACTGGCCAGGAGCAGATGCGCAAGAACTTGGGTTATTTGGAGCGGAGCTCAGGGCGGGATGGGTCGGAGCTCAGGTGGATCTCCAAACAAAGGTATAGCTTAAGAATGCTTAAGAAACATAGGTCGGTAGGTGACATAGTGGTACCACGTTTGGTGTTTTTTTGTTTTCTTTTTTTCCCCAAACAGTGTGGACACACTTAGGGGTTCTTACGGTAGGTGTTAAGCAGCTGGTGCTTAGATCGCTGAAGCGCGCGGGGGCGTGCGGCTAATTCGCTGCTATTTACAGTACATTCATGCTTCTCGGTATCGTCAATGTGCATTTCGACTGCGCAGGCTCGCTGAATCTGGATGGCCGCGGCGGGTGCTTCTAGCGACTGCGCTCTCGTTGTGGTGCCGTGCGCATTTTCGCACATGGTGGTCACTTTTCGTGGCAGGCGCAAGGGAACCTCGTGTTTTGGTGCTTCAAAGTCGACTTTTCGTGACAGGTGCAGGGATCGGAACTGTTTTACTTCGAAGTGCAGTTTTCGTTGCAGGTGCAGCACTTTGGACATGGTGGTGATCGTCGAGGAGCTCAGATTTCGTGACAGGTGCAGTGAGTCGGGACTTTTGGACATGTGGCTCGTTTGCAGCTTTCGTGGCAGGCACAGCACTCTGTGAACGCTTCTTCCAGAAGAGGTGTGCACGCATGTAATCAGTTAATGTTTGGCCAAGGCGCTGCGCTTGAGTGCACCCTGCGCAACGAAAGAAAAGCCCAAGAACCTGAAGAGGGGAAGGGACTGGAAAAAAAAACGTTGGAATCTGGAGAGGGGAAGGGCCTGGTCCGAACCAGAGGCCCCCCGTCCCTGAAGGGCCCAAGAATTCTTAGGATATATATATATATGTATATTAGGACTCAACATTGAATGACCCTTTGTATGGACCCCACTGGTTTGATGAGTGTTTTGGCCTATCCCGATGGGACTATAGGTCCTTTCGTTCGGGCATTCGGCCCCGGATGGCGTGAAAACTGAAAGAACATGTTCGGTGGCGTGCTTCAGCTATGAGAAACTGAGCCAATTCAGTGTACTGTTGTGTACTGTGTTTGTGACTTTGTGTGATGTAACGTTTTTTCCTTTTCATTCTGTCATTTCGTGGGTGTAGCCCCCCTGGTGTAGCTGGATTTGCTCGCCTCACTGGATTCTCAGGACAACATGGAAGAAGGCGTTTGGTCTGTGTGGCGACGGAAGAGGTTTTTTCAACCAACCAACGGGTTTCATCCCGACCGTTGGATCTCAAGGTTTTCTGAAGGTCACCTGAAAGCTGACTTGGTTAGTTTGTTCCATGTGGGGATGTGTCAAAGCCCGGAGCACTTAATCCCTTGTAGGTTGACCTGGCTGGTAGGTCAACCAAGGTCTGTTGGTTGTGATCCACAACCATGTGATTGAAAATGTATTGACCATTGATGCTAATCTTCGTGGGAACCTGAACTGTTTGTAATGCCATGTTCGGCTACTGATACAATACAAACGATGTGACCAGGCATCAGCCTGGAAGGGCACCTACTTTACAGAACTTAAATATATATATATACTGTTGATTAATTTTGGATTCAGTCAGTCAGTTAGTCAGTCAATCAGTCAGTCAGTCGTGCATGCATGAATATTGTGAGTATGCCCCGCATGACCACATGTCCGCCATCTTGGGTGACAACCTATGGGCAAGTTAAGAAGGTGTTTGAGGTGTTTGTGTGCGTTCCAACAATGACAATGGTGGTGGCCACCACTGTCCTAGACTACTGTAGGTCCTAGACTGCCTGGATTGACCCCTGAAACCACCCGAATGTACGTCGGCAAATATTCCAGTTGCCAGTCCCATGGAGTGTTTGGACTATTCATTGGAGAGATTCGAAGGCCAAAGCGTGAACGGCAATATTCCAAGGACCAGGACCCGAAAAGAAAATACTGAGACACCAGTCGATGGCCACAAGATGGAATCACTGTTCTGTTCTTCACCTCGTCGCAGGCGCTTCCCATGGCTCTCGGGGTTGTGGTTTTGTCAGATATGATCTTGTATGTTCATGTTTCTCGGCTTGGCAGTGGTGTGTTTTGTGTTTGTTTTTCTTTTGTTTGCGACGCAACCACCGTCCCACTGGGCCAGAAGATCGACGTGTGCAACAAGAGATCTTCACCTCTGCGAATGGTGCGCAGAGGCTTGAGATGCAGCTTGGATGAACATGCCTTAGGCTGCCTACAGACTGTGGGACTCCTTTTTTCTGCGCTCTGCTGGACCAATTGAACACCCATGTGGGACAGAACTCACGGCCCCAACATGTGACCTTTGGGGAAGTCGCCTTGGACGACCGGGCGCTCGGGCGCTCCAAAAGGTCAGATGTCCTGCGAGCGCCACGTGTCGATCGTTCGTCGTTGGAAGGTCCTTTGACCAATGGGTAGTTGGAATCCTCCCCCGTTGATTTGGAGCCAAAAGACTCTGTGAATTCGACGCCGTCGAACTTGTTCTGAGGCCATGCTTGAGCGACTCCCGCTACTTGGGCTGAAACCGCCCCACGCACTTCCCTGACTTTATGTCCATCCTAGATGGGTGGGCATGCACTGTGCACTAGAGCCATGGCCGCGATGGTGTGAAAAGGCCGCACCATTTGTTCACGAACGACTACTTGATAGGCAAGTTCACTTCGAGAGGGATTTGCTTGAGGGTTGCCACTACCAACCTCAAATTGGTAGCGGAGCCCCTGACGGGGCCCGCTGCTGATTTGCTGCTTCGAGATTGACGAGCGCTATGGCAAGTTCGCAAGGCGTGGACGCCTCAAAGGACTCATGGGTCCCGGTCTTCAGCAACTGACCCACTGACTACAAGGAGTGGAGAGCCAGAATCCACTTGTACCAGAAGAAGATGATCCTGCAGAAGAAACCGCAGGAAGGTGTGATCAACCTGCTCACCACCTTGAGCGGGACAGCATGGAAACAGGTGGAACCCATCGCCGAGAAGGCGAGCGAGGACAAAGACGGCTTCAGCATGATCATGGAAGTCATGAACAAGACCTTCCGCTACGACAGCCGCGTCGAACAACCACGAAGCTTCGAGAGGTTCTTCCATAGCATGAGCCGCCGGAGCGACCAAACTCTCATGTCGTACTGCGCGGAACACAGAGAGGCCCTTCGTGAAGTGGAAAAGCACAACATCAAGTTGCCACCCGAGGTCACCGGATGGTTGATGCTTCGCCGCAGTGGCTTGACGCAAGAACAGAAACAACTTGTGCAAAGCCAGTGTGGAGCAACCCTCGAGGAGAGCAAGGTTGAGGAGGCCATGTATTACCTCTTCGGTCAAGATTACCGAGGACGTGTTGGACCTCAGCTTCGATACAACAACCACCAGCACTCCAAGGGCAAGAACAACAACTGGCGAAAGACAGCTCAGGCCTACACCACCCATGATGAGGACAACTATGAAGAAGAGGCCTATGAGGCTGAAGAAGATCCTTTCGGCTTTGAACAAAGCGTTGATGATGAGAATGCCTACTATGAGGGTGACGACACCTACGACCTTGAGGATGATGAGCTGCTCCTCTACAACGAGGACGACTACCCTGACTATGAGGACCCTGAATGGGAAGAATGCTGCGCGACCTACTTGGACGCACGAAGACGGTTCGCTGAGCTTCGAAACAACAGAGGCTTCTACCCGGTCGTCGCTTTGGCTGACCAAGGTACTTCATCGACTCCATCGTCTTCGCAACGACCGCTACCACCTCGTGGAAAAGGAAAGGGTCACAAGGGTGGAAAAGGCAAAGCTCATCGCACCTCCACACCTCAGAAGGGAGATGCCAAAAGCCGCGGAAAGGCAGCACTGTCGAGCTCTTCGGCTACCAAGACCTGCCTCCGTTGTGGCCAACCAGGCCATTTTGCAGCGCAATGCACTCAGAAGCGCAGCCCTACATCCAGTCCTACCTCATCAGCTGCCAAGAAGAGCAAGCCTGAACAAGGACTCATGGTCAACTTCGAAATGAAGGATTTCCAAGCACTCCCCAAGGGAATTTTTGGAACTATGGATGGAGGAGCCAGCTGCATGGTTCTGGGCCACGACACCTTGATGAATTACATCGAACACTTCCACAAGGAGATCGACGTCTCCTGCTTCAAGTTCCGACCTGCCACCAAAGCAATGCAGTTCGGAGGTGATCGCACAATGGAAGCACAATGGACCGTGCACATGCCTGTGTGCGTGCAAGGCCGCCTTGGCCGTGCCGAAGCATTTGTGGTGTCCGGCTCAACGCCGTTGCTCATCGGCCGACCGATCTTGAAGGCCATGAAGATACAGTTGAACTTCGTTGAGGACACCATGAGCGTCAACGGCTCCCCATGGAAGAAAATTGTCATGGGCCCTCGTGGAGAACATCTACTTCAACTTGATGAAGGACTGGAGTCAATCCCTGAGGACGGCTCCTATGAGTTCG